TATGAAGTATTTGAAAAGTGGAATCAACTATTTACAACAATTAAACTTACCTATTCATTTAGTCACAAAAAACTCTCACTGATATTTTAACAATTGTTCAAAATGGACTCCCATTTCTCTCAATACAAAGCTGAGCACGCTTTCTCAAACTATTTTATAACATTACTTGTGTCTGAGCATTGTATACGCCGGGGTAGTAAGCTGTCCAAAATGTAATAATAACCTTTGGTTGGCTGCCAAAATCGTCCTTCGATTAGGTACACTTGAGTTCATTGGCTGTCTTTTTAAACGCGGTAAAGAGGCACTTTCATATAGTCTTTGCGCACCACGTAAGTTTTCACCACTTAAAATGTAGCACCGGACCATCTCGTAATACTCGCGGTTCTAATAACTGCGTCGTTGTTTCGACATCGTTAGAGATACGCAAATCTAAAAATAGCACGCGCGACTTTAATTAGGTCACGGTCAAATTGAAACTAACGAAGGGCAGCGACTACATAGACCCGTCACCGCGAGCGGGTGGAGGGGAAGAGAACGAAGTTTAATGACGCAACGGTAGTTTTGTTTGTGTGCGTGCACAGTAAAATTTAGGTATTTATGAATGACTACCGCATTGTTAACAAGTTCTGTTTTTTAGGGGAAAAGTTCGTTAGGGGAAAAAAGGGGCATCGCACTGGCTGAAAGTCTCGCAAGGGATCTTGTAGGTTAGCGGTACGCAGTGAACGTTCATAGCCAGCTTCTTAGGCACCTTGAGGAGCACCAGCTCATTAGCGATCGCCAGAATGGTTTCCATCGGAGTTGCGCAGCTGTTGATCTTCTAGTGTATCTAACTCATCGACGGGTGGAGGCAGTTGAGACTATGGTGAGGACTTGGGAACCGTCAAGCAACCAGGTTGGACGTAGCAAAAGCCTTTGATCGGATTTGGCATTGTGCACTTCTCTCCAAGATCACTTCTTACGGACTTCTTGAGAAATTGTGAAACTGGATCACAAGTTTAATTAACTTTTTGGAGCAGCGATGTTGGCTGTGCTTGCTGTGACCCTAAATTGGTGAACGGTGGTGGAAAAAAGCTGCTTCCTGTCCCCCACGCGGTTCCTATTGCATATCAATGATTTGTTGCATATTTGCAACATTCATTGCTATTTAGGGATATTTATATTGTCCCACCCCTAATAATTACATTTAGTATATTAATCTTAAAAATATATTTATTATCCCCAAAAATGTAAAATTCCTATTGTAAATGTCGTTTATTATGAACAAGAATATTGCCAAGAATTTTACTTCAGTTGTTTGTAGACCAATCACTGGAAATCATCAACCAATAAAATTGGAAACCCCTTATTGAATTATTATGTCAGAGATTAATAAACAGTAAATCTGTTTACATGCTGCTTTATTTCTCTAAAGAAGTTTCGTAATTAAGTGATTTCAACATCATAACTATTATGGTATACTGGCATCAGTTTTGCGATATCGTGTATTTTTCAACAATTCCACAGAGAAAGAATTTGTTTCTAAAATGAAAAAAAAAAATGCGTTAGATTTGTATGTAACATTAAACAAACAGATAGCTGTACCTGTACTCAAATCCTTGAAGTAGCAATAACATGTCTTTTTCATTTTAGAAAATGCACTCTTTGTGAAAAACAATTGACATATATGTTAAACACAGACCAAGGGTTTCTAACCATTTTATCTATAAAAACGCCAAAAAATCATTTCTACCCAATAACTTAATTAATTAATACCTAATATTTTTTTTCTGTTTTTCAGTATTTTTTGTAATAACAGCAACAGAAATACATCATCTGTGAAAATTCCAACAGTTCATGAGATACAGCCTGGCGACAGAAGGACAGACAGATAGTAATAGGGTTCCGATTTACTCTTTGGGTAAGGAACCCTAAAACTACATTCAGTTGCGAGCTCAGCATAACAATATGTTATACAGTACACAGTTAGTTGTAAAAATAGGTATACTGGAAAAAGTATTTTACCTATGGTACCAAATATATTTTTTAATTAATTACCAAACGCAAGCAGCCAGCCGTGATAGCTCAGTGTCCGGGCGCTCGTTTTAATGTTATTTACTCGAGCAACCCGAGTTCGATCCCCGATGCCGGCACCAATGAAATAATTAGTTTTAAGTGCCGAATTATCACGTGCTCAGCGGTGAAGGAAAAGATCGTGAGGAAACCTGCATATTTTCGAAGTAATAACAAAAACAATATTTCTAAAATATGTGGAGTCCGCCAATCCGCAATCGGGCCGCGTGGTGGACTATGCCCTGATAACCTCTGTACAGAGGAGGCCTTTGCCCAGCAGTGGGACATGTATAGGCCGATACTTTATTTTACTTTTACTTACCTAACGCAATAAGTATTTAATTGATAAATATATTTTTTCATTATGGAAGAGATCCGAAATGTTTAATTATTTAAGCTCAAATATTAGAATGACATTAATTTAAATGTTTAATAGTAAATAATTCCTGAATTTGATTAACTTTGCAATAGTATTATTGCTTTATCTTGTTTTTAAGTTATACTTCTTTTGACGCGTTTGGGAAAAAACATAAGTATTTTTTTAAATTTTCTGTTATATGAGGTAGGCATTAATATTCATTTAAACAAATTAAAAATTAAAAGGGATATTATTTTTTATTTTACTTTATTTTATTGAGGAACAAAATCCACAGCCTTTAGTTCTTTACATGTAGGTATATCACATATGCTTAACTTACAGCCAAGAAAGGATTTACATTTTATAGTTAGAAGATATAAAATAATAATAATTGAGAATGATTATGTACTAAAATTAAAATTTTAATCATTAGGTGATAGATAATACTTACATTTGTATACTTGTATACTTTAGAGGTGAGAAATATCTAAGTTACTTTAAAACATCATCCTATGTTTAACAAATAAATATATTCTTATTCTGATTTGAAGATATGTGAAATCAACCAATGCGGAACAGAGGCGCGTGAAGGATTAGGCGTCAATATTTTCATTAAACAGCTGGCCTTTACCTAGTGGCGGGATATTACATGAAAAAAAAAAAAAAAAAGAAACTAGTTATTTTTCATTGATACGTGATATGTTCTCAAGGAAACTGAAGATACATACTTTGATTTCAAGAAGACAATGTTTTATTTAAAAAATATTTATTTCGTAAAGCAATACAGTTTGGCCGTTTAGTAAAGTTGCTGTTCAAAAAGTTTACAAGCGAGATCTGATCCAGGCGTTGAAGGAGGTCACTCTGGCGAAAGCGGCTGGGAGGCCACGCTGGCAGCCACTGGCCGAGCCGAAAGATGTAATACCGATCTGTGAAAAGGTAAAACACATGACGAATGTATTGCTTAAAAACATGAGATATTTCATCTTAGCTTAATATCACCCGTGATTAACGCACAGGCATACTTAATTGTAGAATTAGTATAGACTCCTTTACTTTTGTTGGTTCGGGGAAAGGGTTTGGAAATAGGCGCAAATGTGACAAGCTTGTTAACATAAATCATGATATCAAGTCTGATATAGTATCTCAGAAATTTGTAGGATTCTTCAATCGTTAAAATTTACAGCTCCATCGACAATTTATCAGTTGAGTAGGATAAAGTTTATCCGTCATCTGTTTTGGAAAAAGAAAACATTGTAGAGAAGTGAGAGAAAGAGAATACTAACGAGGACATTGCTGGCTACAAGAGGACCACCGGAGTCTCCACCACATGTGCTCCTGCCTCCAGCACCACTGGTGCAGAGAGTGGACCCAATGATGGCATTTCCGAAGGTTCGCTGGCACTCAGCGTTTCCGATGACCTGCAGGCTCACGTGTGACAGGAACTGGTTGTTGCCGATGCCAGCCGCTGTAGGCAAGAAGCAGAAAAAACGGTCATCCAGGTACTATAATTTCATGTAAGAAGGACCTTAATATATGGAAAAAGGTTTTATGCATAGAGGGCATGTGGTAACCACATCTTGTAATAGTATCGGTTCTTCGTTTTGTTTTATTCCTTGCAATTCAGGGCTTATCAAGAATATCTTAGTTGTTTTAAAAAATCTCACACAAACCGAGCAACTCTTAAAGAAAAGTTGCTCTTTTTGTGTGAGCCTTGTTAATAATAATAATATAATACTAATGAATAACAAGTGGAAATTGAAATTAAGTGAAATAAAAGGTAACATAAATCCTTCTGCAAAATATTGAATGGATTAATTGTGTCACGCTGTTTTTGTCACTTTGTGTAAGAGAGTATCTTAATTAATGTTAAAATTTGTAGAAAAAAGGGCGAAAAGTCTGTTAATGTTGTTTGGAAATGAATCACTTACAGTCGCTGGTTCTGCCGAAACCGGCGGCCATAGCCCACGCGCCCTGGAAGCTGTTGCTGCCAGATGCCAAACCGATATTCCTGATGTTGTCTGCAAATTAATACGAACTGTTTAGTATCCCGAAAGTCTGACAGGTTACCCTAAAGTTATTGAACACTAGCTCTCGGGCTTTCGACTTTGACGGGCTTCACTCATTGTTATCTATGTACTAAGACAATTTGTTCCGAGCTAATCGTCGTGCACCCAGTGCCAACTCTTCAATGACTATTAGAATATCTATCGCTTTGTAAAGTTCATGATATTGTCACTAGTCAATAAACCAAGTAATAAAACCGTCTGTGACAAAATATGGGAAAATCTTGCATTTAATAAAAGTGCTATTTAACATAAAAGAGAAAAAGTTTAGGGCTCAAAGATTTCTTACTGTTGTAATTGACCCAGTTCATGTTGATGACTGCGACGTCGTTGTTCAAGTTGTTGGGGTTCCATGAGCCGTGCATGACGACGTTTGTGGTGGTGATTCTGGTGCCGCCGGAGAAGAGGCGGGTGGAGCCCAAGACGACGACGAACTGGCGCGCCCTGTTGCGACCATCCCACCAGCAGTGGGCAGCCGTCACAGCGCGGTTGTTGGTCAACAGTGAGGAACCGCACACCGAGGTCGCGCCATTTTGGAGAGTGATGACCAGACCGCCCTGCGAGAGTGGAGATTGATCGATCATCAAAATACATGTTCACGTTCGTATGCTTATAAACTCACCTCACTTAACTATAACTTAAATTTATAAGTTTCAGGGGTAGAAGATACTTTTAACAAATTCACGACACCACGTCTAAAACGGTTCGAATGTTATCCCTCTTGAAATATGAAACCTTCCAATGGAAATTGGGCGTTTACCCAAAAAATACTTAGACTCACCATGTACGGGTATTGTCCGAGGTTAGCCGCCGAACCTCCCACGATCCTGGCACCGTCGAAGTCGAGGGCCTGCTCCGCTTGCCTGATGACCTCGGCCTCACGGATGCCTACATTCTCGTGGTAGAACCGGAGGGGCTCCTCGGCGAGGGCGAGCGCCGCCAGGCAGGACAGAGCGACCACGAACAGTTTCATTGTGAGAGGCTGAAGCGGTGTGTGACAATTGCTCTGTCCCGATCGTTTTTATAGTAACCGTAATCTTATCTGCCAAGTAAAAATTAAGCTCACATGGAATTAGTGTCAAACGTTTGCTTGATCGTCAAGGTAATAGCGATTCAGAAATTGATGGACATTGCAAGGATTGCACACTTGCCTTGTGCTTTGAATACCACTACCACGATACTCACAGCAGTGATGTCTAACTCTGATATATTCTGATTCTGCTATTATCATATCAGCCGTAGGACATCCACTGCTGAACATAGGCTTCTATTATATGATATTCTGCTATTAGCGATATAATAAGTATTTGAAAATAAATAAATTTAGCTTAGACTGTGATCAAAACATTTTAAATTATCTCTTTCGAAGCCATGTGAACGGTATGCACCCGATGAGCAGTACGTAAACAAGTTTGAGATTCAACCTTTGAGATTCACTTATCCTTTACTTACTTTCTCTTTTTTTTTTTCCCACTTTAAGTTCGACCACTGAAAAGCCGTCAAGCGTGCTCTAGGCCCTTTTAGGGTTCCGTACCCAAAGGGTAAAACGGGACCCTATTACTAAGACTCTACTGTCTGTCGGTGTGTCTGTCTGTTCGTCTATCACCAGGCTGGATCTCATGAAATGTTGTCGCTGTTCTGTTTCATGAAATGTTGCTGTTGCCGCTATAACAACAAACGCTAAAACAGAATAAAAATTATTTAAGTGCGGCTCCCATAAAAGGACGTGCCGTTTTTGCCAATTTATAGGAAGGGACCCTTCATGCGCGAGTCCGCAGCTATAGTGGGTGCTTAATTGAATTTTTGAATAGACAATTTTATTTTAATATGTCCAATCATCGTAATATTAGCACAACGAGATATAAGAGTACAATTGATGCGGTATTCACGAGATATTTAAATAACTTCGAATCAAAATTGTTTATTTATCTTATCCTTTAAACGAGCATATATATATATAATCGGAATCTCGAAAACGGTTCCAGCGATTTTCATGAAATTTTGTATGTGCATACATTCGGGGGCGAAAAATCGATCAAGCTAGGTTTCATTTTTAGAAAATGTCCTTTTATCCCTGTTTTCAGGGAATGAAAAATATCATGCGAATATGACAGTAAATTTCGTCGCAAAAAAAATGTTAAATAGCTCGGTCGGTAATCGGGCGTCTCAAAACAGGCCACGGTTCGTATCACGATAATACACACTTATTTTTTTTACTTTTTTTTCTATACCAGATCATTGCTTTCTTTATTTTTTCAAAAATACATGATTAACCAAAAAAACCGAGCAAAGCTCGGTCCTACAGGTACTATTATTTTATTTATCTAAATAATTTCTAACGCGCCATAGTAAGTTTTCACTTCTGTCGGCACTCCCGGAGTGTTTTATTTGCCAAAGATCGTCTTTTTATGTAAAACGTTTTTGAATGTGGGTTTTTAAGTGTCGCTCGTCTTGTTGCCATAGACTGTGTGTGTCTGTGTGTGTATTTTATTCGTGTGAGCGTACGTGTGTGATTTGTATGAGCGATTGGAATTATAAAAGTGTATTTGGAACAATAAAAAATTTTTTTGGAAACATTTAAAATAATCAAAAAAGGAAATAATAAATAAACTAAACTTCTCAACAACAACACCTCAAGTGCCGGATTTTTGCTTTGAAAGCAAAAACTCTTTTAATTTTAACTTAAAGGAATGAATAGATAATAAATTTCTTATAGGGGGTGGGATGTCATTGCAGCACTTTGTTGTTGCGAACCGGAAATTTCCCCTAAAGGCAGCCGTTTGAGACTGTGGGTAAACAAGACGAGGTGCCGTCCTAACAGAGCGCTGAGAAAATTTAAATTTTTCGAAAAAGTATTCCGGTTTTTCGGTCTTTATAACTCATAAAAGCAGCGAGGCGAGATGAAGCCTTCTTCGATTGAACATGTTCATCAGGTCGTGACGGTTTAAAAAAGGTGTAAGATGTGAGCGCTTAGGAATGGGAAAACAAAAACGTGCGCAGGCATTCTGTATCCTTTGGGTTATCTTTTGCGTCCTTGTATACAAACATTAACCGAAAACTGTATCAGCGTAGGATAGTTTAGATAAAATAAGTGTTTCACTTAACCTGATGCGCATGTCCACCGTCAGATAATCGCGAATCCGATACAAGACCTTAAGTCTATAAAAACAATTACGCAAAGTTTCCAAGATATGTCCTTCAAAACGCAATTTCCCATCCATCAGCAGACCCAGATTACGAGCTTCTAACACTCGTTCTAAAGAGTTACCGTCAATGGAGATCGTCGGAGTATAAGCTAGAATCTTATCTATTTGCTTAGGCGTTCTGAGTAACATGAATTTGGATTTATTTGGGTTCAAAACAAGTTGGTTTTGCTTACACCAAATTGAAATATGATTTAAATCATCATTTATTTTAGTTATTGCTGACCGGGTATCGCTTGGTTTAAAAGACATGTACAATTGAACATCGTCAGCATATAAAAATCAGTGTGTGTAAAAATTGAAAATTAGTGTGTTTACTTGTTTTTATTATGTCAGCAATTTAAAGAATAAATAGCATAGGACCCAAAATCGAACCCTGCGGAACACCTCTATTTACCGGCTTAGTGGAAGACACTATTGTGGAGATTAGACAAAACAAACATTAATTACTAATCCTATAACAATATATCATCATATAATCAGTTTCTTTAAATTCTTCTTTACTACAAATTCTATAGTCAACAGTATATGTTCTTCGTGACAGAGAATCAGGATTAGATTGAACCTTTCTTAACGATGTTGATTTTAAAATCGTACACTTGGAATTGTTCTACCCAGCGCTTAATTTGTCTTTCCGGATCACGAAACTTAGAAATCCAGTTTAATGCTTAATGGTTTAAAGGTGAGGTATGTCGAAAATTCTAATGAGAAAACAACATTAGAATTTTCGACCTACCTCACATCTTTGAAATGTTACAACTTAACAATCGCCGATAACTACTTTAAGATTACACAATAATTTCTTTGTGGTTTTGTAAAAGACTAGCTAAGGTATGAAAGCTAAGTAATGACATCTTCTTGGTTACCTTTAATTTCGAAATAAAACACCTTCTATACAGGTATCGTTTGCATCTGTGTCTACTATTAACTTTTGCTCAGCATCAGGTCAGGGTATCCAAGAATTGGATAATCTTCAACTCTTTAAAGCCTCATCGCATTTAATTTTTCTATTGGAACTTATCGAACGTTATCTATTTAGTTATTGTACCAGCACTGGTTGATAGTTGTCAAAATCAAGTCCAAACGTCATTCAGATTTTTTTATGCCTATTGCCAAGCGAGCAGAAAGTTCGGCGAAAGTTTTATACTTGCACTTTACGCCGGTCTTCTGTGAGGTGGTACTTACCCGGACGAGTCTGCCCATTCGTGCAACAGCCGAGGCTGCTGCGTGGCCCTACCACCGTGAAAATCATTTAAAATTCAGATGTACATTTTTTTTAACATTCAAAAAAATCTCAAAGTTTGCCATCTAAATTGTTATTTTGCATTCAAGTAATGCAAGTGCCTGCTTATCTAGATTAAAAGTTTTTAAACAGTGCCATTTTCTATTGTAACCTAGAGTCTGTGGGGTCTATGAGGCTAGCGGTTTTGACACTATGCTGCGGGGACTAAGGCTTGTTACATAAAATGTAAAGCAATAACCAAGACGTGCTGTGATGTTCCTGTGGACTGACTATAACTTGGAACAATGCAGGACTCTAAGATTTTTGGCATTCTTGATAAACCTTAGTCATTGATTGTTACTTGCAGCTGAAGTAAATGACAATAATGTAAATAAAATAAGCTTGGAACTCGGTCGTGTCTTCACGGAAGCTATCATTGTTAACAGAATGGTTAGAGAACCAGAGGACTAGTTCGTCTTATAATAACTTCCAAGCTTTACTTACTCTACCCATATGAACCGATAGTATCAACGCATTTTGAAATATTCAATACAAAAAATCCCACCAATTATTATTGTTCTACCGAAAATGGAAATTTGAAAATTCTTGCTTACCTTTTAATATCAAAAACATCAATTTGGAAGTGCAATGGGTCCAAACAGGAATTGTGAAAGTGTGGATTTAATTGGAATATAAATGAAACTTTTTAGTTGGTCGAGAATAATTTTTATTTACTCAGTAATCTAGTATTATTGTGGGAAAAGACTTGCTCGAAATCTCTACTACGCGGTCGGCCAGACACTTGATAAGAACTTCAAATCAATTTAACGAGTAAGTCTGATATAACGAGAATCCGCATAAAAATTTCGTCACAATCTTGTAAGGGGCTGAAAATCGCCAGACATTGCAAAATAATTGCATAGTTGTTAAAAAATAATACAATTTACAGATCAAAACTAAGACATACATTTCCGATACAAATAATTTATATTTCAAAATACACATTTTTTTTTCATTCAAAGAATTTGCGATCAACACACAGCTTTGACGTTGTTTTTTAGAAGTTTTATCTATCAGTAGATATGAGTGTAGTTTCGGATTATTTTCTCGATTGCAGTGCCACTTATTGCTTCTAGGCTTGGTGATTTTTTGGAACTAGCGAATATGACGTAAAATTGAGAGATGTTTTAACCATAAAGACACGTTTCTAAATAATTTGACTACAGCGTCATCAACAGAATAAGTGATAAAATGAATGTCGAGAAAATAAATTACACAATTATAGTATTTCGATTTTTTGTGTGCGATTTCATTAAAAAAGAGTTATCTTCCTTAAGTGCCATCCTTAGAACTAAATCAATTAATTATAATAAATAAATTTAAACATAAGACAACAATGTTAATCTTCACCAATATAAATATGACCCAAATTAATTTTTTCTCTGCTTTAATAGCAGTAAATCAATGATAATTTTAATTAAAAATCAGGCTATCAGTCATTTAATTTTAGTAATTTCTTATAAGTTTATCATACTTTAGATATTTTTA